TTCGTATCTGAGATTTTTGCATGATTATAAAGTTTGAACCTTACTAACAAGCGCTAATTAGCCCACGATAATCAGCGTGTTTCAAACCGCTAAATTATGAAAAAATCTCAGATATGAAAATTTCGTTTCAGTGGCACTAGATACTGTACAAGTAAGGATTGATTGTTATACCATCTAGATACAAAAGCGTTTCTACTAAATATTGAATTGTTAATAGCTACTTAACCTTGATTTTCACCGAAGCAGCAATGAAGCCACCATTCCGACAGAGCAAAAAGAAACGTTGCAAGAAGCATGGTAGATCCATAAACAATGACGTTAAATACATACGGGGAAGAAAAAGATACTTGCAAAGTCAACTAAATGGGCTGAACTGTTACGGTAAAACCGCTATCATTCTGTAAAAATTAAAAGAAGTTACGAGCTATTTGTAAATGGTTTCCAGGGGGTTAAAGCTTCCCCTAGAAAATTTCATTGCTGTGAAAAAGGTTATTGACACTAGTACTAATGTCATGCAAATAGCAGCCTGGCATCTTTTCATTTCATTGTTTAAGTTTTTAAAGCACGCAGATTCAATGGCCTCTCGCTGTAAAATTAAATTAATGATTCAAATATCAAGTTTGGTTGGTCACAAACCAATTCTGAGCGTAAAGTGTTAAAGGAAAATTGTGTGAAACGATTGTTACCACTGAGGTAAAATAAGCTAAGACAAGATTTAACCTTTCATAGGTTAAAGGAAACAAAAGTAGCGAGAGGGAGAACTTTTCAACCACAAGTTAATTTAGTAAAGGTTTTCCGTTGATTTACCAGTTTTGCTTAGAGCTTTTTTAAAAAGCTGATTAACACCGCTACCTATTGGCTTGTTTAGATTTTTGAAATCCTGCAAGACAACTTAACTCTTGCAACTTGAAAGGAAGATCGGCCTGAGCGTTCAAACATTTGCACATCTGAGTTCCAGATATGCAACGTACGTATGTAAGAACCGGGCTCAAAGGAAGCGGCGATGCGGTCTCAGTCTTTTTCCAAACTGTAGCACGTAACTTTCTTTTTGACTCAAGAATGTCGCTTCATTTCGTTCAATAATAAACCAATCCAAGCTTTTTCGATGCGTTAGTTATGTCTGCTGGAAACTGAATAAGAACGTACAACCCATCATAACTCACGAGTGATTCCAAATGGTGTGCATTATTTCGGCCCTACCTCAGCAAAGCAACTCTCGAAATAAAAAAAACTTGCGCGTTCTGGGAACACGAACCCTGGCGGCCAATTCTGACACCACCGACAATTTGTGAAATTGTTAAGAAAAATATAAAGTCTTTTTTACCCGATTTTTCCAAGGCATTGTCGTCCGGTCTCCTTTTAAGGTCCCTAATTTCAACCTTGTCGTTGCATTTGACTTAGAATCTAAACTATACCTACGTTAGTTCCCTCAGGAACCATTCCTATCTGACAAACCCGACCATTCTCCTTTCAATGCTGGTTGCAGGTAGTTCTCGCCGTAATTGAAACTCAGCATTTTATTCACATCTTTCACGGTCACGAATTCTTCATTGTTGATCGTAACAAGGGAAGATCCTTCCATTAGAGCGTGACCTGCCTCGTAAAAATCCACATAGCCTCGTTTTCTCCAACGATGAGACACTGGCAACATTCCCTTCACCGCTTCTTCCAATTCTCTGCTGAACAATGCTTTGCCCTCTAAGTCCTCAGGCCCGTCAAAATAAGGGGCTGTATTTACGTCTATGTATGGGGGCACAAGAATATGTCCCCTGGGCATGTTCATGAAAGACATCCCGGCATAGTATTGGTTTTCGAGAACTTTTTCTAGGGTAGAATACGTTGAAGCATTCTTATACACAGCAGTAGGTAGTGCAATATCTATGTCGTATGTCCATGGTATGATCGCTTTACTCCTGACAGCCCCTAACAAGGTGCCGTCAACAATACGGTATTCAAGCCCCAGTTTGTTCAGCCCCATTACAAAATCGCTCAGCATTTTCCATAAAACGGCGCTGCAACAAATCGGTGCAGCTACGTCGGGCAGACCTCGTGGCTCCACATAAGGTTTCTCTGGGCACATCTTCCAGTTTGCGACGCAAGCTGTCCATTCTATTCTATTCTCAGTTACGATCCGAAGTACCGCATGTTTATTGGCAAAATTTGTATATTCAGGAACCTCGTTTGAGCCCTCAAGTTTTCCCCGATCCGCGCGCGTGATTCTGGGTGTCCATGCGCAAAAACCAAGCTTTGCTATCTTCAGATCGCCCTTCGATCGTAGAAAAAATTCCAACAACGATAATTTCCCAAAACCGTCCATTAATCCTCCTATTTTTTGAAACACATCCTTTCTAATCACAATTGGACCTTGGGCGACATTACAGGTTTGTACAAACGTATCACTTGTCCCAGTTTCACTGTCCGAGTCAAGCTGACCAGATTTTTGTAATGCGACGTTTTTCACAGGGCCTGCATTTCTAATGTGAACGCTCCACATCTTTTTCAAAAAACGACACCAAGACTGATCTAATTGCAAATTCTCAGAAGCTTTGATTTTATGGTTTTCCTGCTGTTGCATACAAGTTGCACCATGAAACTGCTTCCCTGAACGAAGAAATTCACGCAACTTACTTACGGAATATTTGTTTTCCTCCTCCAATTCACGATCAATATCCTTCTCTTGGGTTGAATACGGCAGAATTAATATGTAGAGAGTCTTGTTATTCACCGCACTGGAATAGGTCATATCCGAATGAATGACAGCCACTGAATCTCTCCAAGAGGACGTCTCATTTGAATTAGAAACGTTAAACTTTGCTGTGTTCGAAATCCTGAGTGTTTGCGTTTTCACTTTGGAAGCTGCTAAAAAACCATTACTCCTTCGAA